TTCCTCTTCTGGTCGCTGGCGCTTTGGGAGCTCCTGCGACGGTGCAGACATGGCCAAGTCCAAGAACCACACCACACACAACCAGTCCCGAAAATGGCACAGAAATGGTATCAAGAAACCAAGATCGCAACGATACGAGTCTCTTAAGGGGGTAGACCCCAAATTCCTGAGGAACATGCGCTTTGCCAAGAAGCACAAGAAGGGCCTGAAGAAGATGCAGGCCAACAATGCCAAGGCCATGGAGATACGTGCTGAGGCTGTGAAGGCTCTGGTCAAGCCCAAAGAGGTCAAGCCCAGGATCCCAAGGGGAGTCAACCGCAAGCTCAGCCGACTCGCCTACATCGCCCATCCCAGGCTTGGGAAGCGTGCTCGGGCCCGCATTGCCAAGGGGCTCAGGCTTAACCGGCCAAAATCCAAAGCCAAGGCTGACAGTAAGGCCGAAGCTCCAGCTAAGTCCTCAACTCAGGCTCCTGCTCCAAGCCAGGCTCCTGCAAAGGCTCTATAATTGAGTTCTACATCTGAGGACAGAAGGACTGGTGTGACCCCCTGGGCTGTTGCCATCTACATGGGGCTGGTGTCCTCCTGTGTTATTTGTACAAATAAATCCTAAGGCAGGGAAAAAAATTCCAAATTTAAAAAAGAAAAACCCAAAGACGTCATCAGACACAATCCTGTGAGCAACCGTTTTTTTGATAACCGTTAATCATAGTGAAAGAATTTTGTACCTCGAAGAAGCCATTCAGATTCTCTACTGGGGAGTTTGCAAACTCAAATGCTTATATAGGCCTGGCGGGGAAATATAAAAAAGGAAGACTGGTGAGATGGACAGTGAACCTGGTTCCCAATTAAAGACAGTCAAGTTAATTTTTAACAATATTTTAACCAAAGCAGTATGTGGGTCAAATAAAGCTGTCTGCAAAGCTCAGTTGTATTCATGGGTTAGTTGGTTTGTGGCCTCTGACAGCCCGTCTTGTTTCTTGCCATGTCTTCTAAGCATCTCACACATCCCAGGCCGTCCCATGCTCCCTAGACATGCCTTAATATTCTCTCAGGTATCGTTCATAGCATTATTTCTAGTATGCCTGTCTCCTTTGAGTGCAGAAGTCTTTTTAATTCCCCACTGTGTTATGTATTCCTTGTGAATGGAGACCATGCCTGTTCACTTTTTTATACTGTGTACATAATTGGAGTTTTATGACAGTGGTGTAATTTCTAATCAGCATACAGTAAAGAGTTTCATATTTTGGAAAGAAATTATTTATGTAATTGAATCTCAAACCCATTTATATAGGAGGAAAAGTGACCCCTGGTATAGAGCAACTTACTCAAGATCACATAGAAGTAGGATGTGCATCTTTCAATGTTCTTTCTGGCACTTTGTTTTATAACAGTTTCCATTATAAAATCAGAAATTGGGATAGAAATGGAACTTTCTTAATTGCTAGCAGTAGCTTTGGTTGATATGCCCAGACTAGACTTGGAAGCCCAACTTGTCTCATAACTAACAGTTTAATTTAGATGTTTTCAGCCAATTGAGAGCTAATCCAACGATTTTGAGGAAATGTACAAAAGTCTTCAAACTTTTTGCCTTTTTCTCCTCAATACTAACCTAATGCCCAGGGAGGTGATACAGCCACAGCTGGCAAGACAAGAGTTTGGGAATGTCCATTTTGGTGTCTTCTCAGACTTTCTTATTGATATTCTCTGATATCTCTGTTAATCTGGTTCCCTTCCTTGTCCTTTTGGGGTACTTGGGAAACTCAGAGGTCTGATGGAACCAGCTCTCCTGTCCACTGCTATCTCCAGCAATGTCTCTAGCATTTTCTACCCTGTATGTCTCTTGGAAACTCCCTGTCTGTCTGAGAAGCTAGGTAATTATCAGGAATCTTTAGCTCTATATACAGCCCCAATTTAAATTTAGAACATACACTGATATATATTTCTTTTTTCTGAATTTTTGCAGATTAAGCTATCAAGATTCAGAAGAGCAAGGATTTGGTATAGAATCAAAGACTTTGTAAGTAGTTTGCTGGGAACAAAAGGCTTTTCTTTCTTTGTAGTAATTGCTAGTTTTTCTCTTCTGGCTAAGATATCCACAGATAATTTGAAGCTTTCATATTTTATGTATATAGTTTTTTAAGTTTTTATTTTTCATCAAGACTTTGTATGCTTCATTGCTCTTATAAACTGATTACAAATTATTGGATTGACTCTTATAAAAGGCAATTTTGTTGTGTGTATGTGTGTGTAAGACAGAGATGTAAGTATCATGTTTATTAAAACATATTGTTGTCCTACAACAAGGAGAGAATAAATTGATGAATGGGACCTTCTAATAATCAAATCCCTATGTACATCAAAACACTCTTCCAACAGGGTAAGAAGAAAACTTACAGACTTCTTTTGAGAAAAAAAAATTTGTCAGTGGCATATCTAATAAGGGACTTATATCTAAAATTTATGGAATATTCTAGCACCTCCACAAGAAAAAGCTAAACAATCCAATCATGAAATGGGCACAGGATATGAATACACTGTCCACCAAAAAGGACATTCAGATAGCAAACAAACATTTGAAGAAATATTCAAAATCCCTAGCTACCAGAGAAATACAAATCAAAATAACTATGAGATATCATTTCACCCCAGCAACAATTGCAAAGTTCTAGAGGGCAGCAAAGAGCAAATGCTGACATGGTCATGGAGAGATTGGAACTCTTGCTCACCTAGTGGGAATGTAAAATGAAACAACCACTATAGAAGGTGGTCTGGCACTTTCTCAAAAAGTTGGAAATAGAAATATCATTTGACCCAGTAATTCCACTACTGAGAATATACCCTAAAGAAACCAGAGCAACAACTCAAACAGATGGTTGTATGCACACCTATGTTTATTGCTTCATTACTCACAATAGCAAAGAGATGGAAGTGACCCAAGTGCCATCAACAAATAGATAGAAAAATGATTACATCACACATTGTAATAATACACAGCATTGAAAAACAATGAAATAGTAAAACATTACATAACAAAGAGGAACATTGAGTACATTTGCTGAGTGAAATATCTCAGTCACAAAGGACAAATACTGTGTAACATTGCTATTATAAAATAGGACAGATGTTAGGGAGGGAGTGGGGAAAGAGTGGACAGATAATGAACATTGCATTAGAATGGATGAGGGGAAGAACTATTTAAAAGGAATATATAATTATGAATTAAGTGTATGAGAACAATCTGGAACAAGGGGTACATTATGTGGTGGATTGGGATGGGGGAGAAAATGTGCAATAATGAATAAAGAAAAAGATGGAAAAAAAAACCCATCCATGTTGTTGTGTGCCATTGATTTGGAACTGACTCATAGCTGACCTTCCAAAGCGTTTTCAGATGCTATAAAACACAAAGGAGAAGATTGCTCATATTTCTCCTGCAGAGCAGCTGATGCATTCGAACCAGTTGCCTTCAGGTTGGCAGTACAATTCCTTGCCACTAGGACACCAGAGCTCCCTGTTAAAACATACATAGAACTTAGAAGAAACAAAGGCTAATATTACACAGATTGTGTGTTATTAAGTGACATCAAGTCAATTATGACTCACAGAGATCTTAAGAGCAACAGATTTTGGTAGCACATATACTAAAATTGGTATGATACAGAGAAGATTAGCATGCCCCCTCTACAAGGATGACATGCAAATTCATGAAATGTTCCAATTTAAAAAGAAAAAAAAAACCTGCAAAGAACAACAGATCCTGATCCATCCTCACAATCTCTGATATTTCTGATATCGGCATGGTTATTTTTGCTTTATGTGTATACACACACACACACACACACACTTCTATATTACTTCTCTCTTACTCTCTCACTTTCTAAATGTTCTCTTCTGTCTCCCCCTCAGATCCTCTTTCCCCCCTTAGAGTTCTTTACATCTCTTTTCTGATTGAGGGAAAAAGGGGAGCAATTCTGCCTTAAAGTCCTGTAAATTGAGTTATTTGTAGCCTTAATCTTTCCTCCCAGCCTGTCTTCGTTCCCCTCCCTGCCCTTCTGATTAGCCCTCATTTGGGAGGGGTTGGTAGTTGGCTCCTCCCCTGGATAGGAATATTGGACAATACTTAATATCAGTTCTTCACTGAGAACTCTGGTGCAATTGCCATTTTAATCTAGAAAAAAAAATTACTTTTAACCTTATATTTTTCTCTGATTTATAAAGGAGCCTAGAGTCATTGAGTCTCAAGTTCCTTTCTACATCAGTTACTCCATTTGACTAAAGTGTTCGAGTTCTGCATTTTCCCAGTTATCCCAATTTATCAAACTTAAGGGGCATGCCATGTGGACACATACCGGCACCTTTTCCCACATTCTTTTTTTTTTTTTTCTCTCTGAACAATACCTTTATTTAATCATTTTGTTTATAACTGAAACTCTGGGAATTCAAAATTAACATCCTTTCCTGTGAGCTTCTTATACACACCAGAGAACGTTTCAACCTTATGTTCTACGTTGTTCTGCTGTGCTTTGTCCAAATGGACCTTTGTAAGCCGGCTGCCATCCAGTTTTACACGGATTCTCTTGCCCACAATTTCACTGGGAAAGACCAAGTCTTCAAGGATTGCATCATGCACAGCTGTCAGAGTGCGGCTCCTGGGGCGCTTTTGTTTATTTTTTGTGCGGCTTTTGCGAGTTGGTTTAGGCAGAATTCTCCTCTGAGCAATAAAGACAACGTGCTTTCCACTGAACTTTTTCTCCAGTTCACGTACTAAGCGGACTTGTATTTTCTGGAAAGATTTCAGTTGAGGAACAGGAACAAAGATTATAATAGCTTTCCGACCACCACCAACTTCAATTTCCTTAGCTGCTGTTATATTCAGCTCCCTTAATTGAGCCTTTAGGTCTGAGTTCATCTCCAGTTCAAGCAGAGCCTGAGAGATGCCAGACTCGAATTCATCCGGCTTTTCGCCATTCGGCTTCACAATCTTCGCGCTTGAACTGAACATGGCCTTGTTCGTGCTGAGCACCGGCCTAGGAAGAGACCAAGAGGTCCCCTTGCTGAGGTGTTAGATGTCCTTGCTCCCAGTTCAGAAACATCCTCTTCTCTTTAAATTATTCTATGTCCTTAGTGTTTAATCACTTTGAGACTCAGTATTTTCATGTGTGGAGTGGCTATAAGGGTTCTTATTGAGAGGTAGTGAGGATTAAGTAAAATAATGCCTATGTTGTTCCCTGCTGTGAAGTCAGAACCTACTCATAGCTGATCCTCCAGCAGGTTTTCAGAGGCTGTAAGTAGCACAGGAAGATTTTTTCCCCCATCTTCCTCCTGTTGAACAAATGGTGGATTCTAACTGCCTGCCTTAGGGTTGGGAATGCAACTCCCTATCCACTAAGCCGCTAAAGCTCCCTATAGACTCTTGCATTCTATATCCTGCCCACAATCTCCTCCTGCTTCTAGAATCCTTCATTGTGTTATAAGTAGATTCCAAAAAAATGGGATTTTTCTTAGAATAAAGCTTCCTGAAATTGTTGGTGGGATAATAGTGAAATGAGCTCTTAACTTGCAGCTGAGGGAAATGATTTATTTCTAGTATTACTGGATTCTTAGAGAAAGATTAAAGACAAAGGAACTAGTTGTTCCCATTGCTAGCTTAGAAACCATGAAGTACTTCAATCCTGGGCACTCTTGAGAAGGTATTTGGTGATTAGTGTCGTAATTATTTAGTATGCTATAACAGAAACAGCACAAGCAGATGATTTTACCAACAGAAGTTTACTTCCTTACAGTTTGGGAACTAGAAGCCCATTTGCAGGTACCAGCTCCAAGGAAAGGCTTTCTTTTTGTGCAGGCTCTGTGGGAAGGTCCTTGTCATCAATCTTCACTTGGGTGAAGAGCAAATAAAACCAAAATCAAAAAACATTTTTTACCCTCCACCCCCCCAAATGTTATGAAGAATTTGGAAAAATTGGAATATTTACCCATCACTAGACTGAGGGTCAGATATGTATCAGTTCTGACTCCATGGCACACAACAACAACTACAGATGGAGAAAAGATTGAAGCTGTCAATTATTTCATCTTACTTGGATCCACAATCAATGCTGTTGGTACCAGCAGTCAAGAGATAGGAGATGTATTGGTTTGGACATATCTGCTGTCAGGAATATCCTAAAATATTGAAGAGCAATGATGCCAGTTTGAAGACTAAGATGTGCCTGATTCAGGCTATGGTCTTTTCTGTCACTTACTATGCTGCTGAGAGCTGGACAGTGACTAAGAATCCAGAATAATTGATACCTTTGAGTTGTGATGCTGCAGAGGAGTATAAATATCCCATGGACTGTCAAAAGAATCAACGGGGGTGGGGTGGGGAGGGGAAGAATCAATCGGTATGTCTCAGAGAAAGTGCAGCCAGAGTGCTCCTTGGAGACAAGGATGGCAAAGCTTTGTCTCTGATACTTTGGACATGTAGTTAGGATAGGCTATTTCTTGGAAAAGAATATCATGCTTGTAAAAGTGGAGGGTCAGCAAAAGAGAGGAAAACCCCAGTAAGATGAATTGACATGGTGTTTGCACCAGTGGGGTCAAGTATATCAGAGATCGTGAGGATGGTACAGGATAGAACAAGATTCAGATCTGTTGTTCATAGAGTTGCTATGAATCATGCTCAACTTGACAACACCTAACAATTACGGAGTACAATGTGATGGTTCATAAAAAACCCTAAAAGTAAGACTACCACATAATCCATCAATTCCACTCTTAAAAGCAGAAATTCAAACAAAGACTTGTATATTCATTAACTGTTCATTGCAGTTGGAAGCAAGAGTGGCATCCACTTCCTAAGTAACATGCCTCCAGAAACTCTATGAACTTTGATAAATGTCGATAGTTATAGAAAGGCTTCAGGCCTTTAGTTCATAGGGTCACTATAAGTCATGCTCAACTTGAAGGCAATCAACAACAACATTCATTGTAGTGTTATTCACAATACCCAAAAAGTGAGGAAAAGTGGTCTATTTCTCAGTACTTTATAGTTTAGTGATGATGTAATATATAAGCTATGTAATGATGTAGTCATGTTCTATTTTGTCTTCTGATGAGCCTCGATTTTTGCATAATGCCAGCAACTCAGTCCTTGGAATCTTGTCATGCCCTGAGTGAGTGAAGAGTGTCTGTAAAAGTGGAGAGAGGCTACAAAACTTAATTTCATATAGCTAGTAAGTGATAGAGGTAGTATCTGAACTTGGATCCATCTGATTTAAAAACTTTAGGTTCTTTGCATTACCCCATACTACCTGTGTTTACTTGTACTCCTTATATGTCAAACTAAAGTAGAAGTTTTCTATCCTGTATTATCCTCACATTTCCTGATACAATAGAGCCCATTGCAGTAGTCACCAGGTCAATACAGGATAGAACAGGGTTCAGATCTTTTGTTATAAGGGTTTCTATAAGTTGTACTCAACTCAACACCACCTAACAACAACAACATGGTGACAAAATAATGTGATAACTCTAACATTTAGATAGAAGCCAATAGGTACCTTTTAATAGAGGAGAAACTGCTTTAAAAAAGAGACTGAGATGGAGTACACAAAGCAAAGAAGATAAGAAATGTCACCAAAATTATCAAATCTAAAATAAAGTAGTCAAAACTTTAAAAAAAAAAAGTGGAAGTTTTGACCATTTACTTATTCTGTTGAGTATTTATTTAATAGCAGGCTCTTAGGCTAGGCGTTGCTTCTGTTTGTTGTAATTCCTTATTTTATGTGGTGTAAATCTTCCCACCACAACTGATTTCGAACTACAGTATAATTCCAACAAATTAGGGCATTTTTTTATTTGGTAGCCATCAGTCTAGAATACTACTGCCTTTAGCCCTGTTAAATTTCACCTTGCTCAGCACCATTTGATCTCTACTGAATGGTGAAAACAGATGGGTTCCTGATGATTTTGTTTGCTTTTTTGCCATAGGGGCTGTACAAACTTACCATGGATATCATCGTAATGATTCGAGTATGTAAAATGTTTCGCCAAGGCCTCAGAGGATTCCGGGAATATCAGATCATTGAGACTGCTCACAGAAAGCACCCATTCTTCTCCTTCTGGGATGTAAGTATCTGAGATCAACAAGATTATGAGGGTTTTAGGGAGCCAATTAATAGCACCCTACTTTCCAACCTAAGCTCTGAGCCAACTGAGAGAGAAAACAAAAGGTTGAGCAGATAGGGGTCACAATTGTCACCTTTAGTAATTGTTATTATTGTTGAGTGAACCACAACTCATAGTGAGCCTATGACACAGCAGAACTGAACCCCTGCCCTACCCTGCACCATTCTCACCATCCCTGATGTACTTGAGTCCATTGCTCCAGACATTGTGTCAATCCATATTGAGGATCTTCCTCTCTTTTGCTGACCCTCCGTCCTTCCAAGTACACTGTCCTCTTCCAAGGACTGACTTCTTTTAACAACATGCCCAAAGTATATGAGACACAGTTTTACCATTCTTGCTTCTAAGGAACACCATGGTCACACTTTCTCCAAGATATATCTGTTTGTTCTTCTGGCAGTTCATTGTATAATCAGTACTCAACACCAGCTTAAAGGCATACATTTTTCTACTGTCAATCTTTGTCAGTTTCAAAGCATAAATTGGAGAAAGAAACTTTTGGTATCAGCTAAGAAGGTTGTCCAGTTCTGCTCTCTGGAATTGGAGAGCATACATGTTCAGTCACAGGAAGTGCTTGGCCAAGACTGGCTGCCACACAGTAGTAGGACCTACTGCCATAGAGTCATGGCCAAGGACAATAGTGAATGTGGGCTCAGTGGATAAGGACAAGGAGATGGTCAGGCCCAGTTTCTACTTTCAAATTCACTTGTCAGTGTGGAAGGAATGAGGCTAGTTGTGTTCTACTAATACAGCTCCATGTGGAAAATAAAATAGGAGTAGGGAAGAGTTTCTTCCATTCCATCAAGAATCAAAACTACTAGAATAAATCCAGGGGACATTAATAGTCAGATGATATTGTTGAATTTGTACATCTCACAATTCCATTACATAAATTCTTCTTTGTCCTTCCTTTTTCATGCTCCAGCTTTCACATGCATATGACTCAACTCAACTCTTTGACTCATGTGAGAACCAACTCATAGCTCCAGAGAGTTTTCAAAGGCTGTAAAATCATACAGGAGAAGATTGTCCATCTTTCTCTCACAGAGCAGTTAGTGGATTCAAACTACCTGTCCTTGAGTTGGCAGTGCAACGTCTTACCCACTAGGCCATCTAAACTTCTCATACATATGAAGGAACTGAAAATACCACTTGGTATTTTTGGCTTGGGCCAGGTGCACCTTTGGCCCTAAAGTGACATTCTTGTTCTTTAGCACTTTAAAGAGGTCCTTTCCAGTAGGTTTGCCCAATGCAACACGTTGTTTGATGTAATGACTATTGTGGTATTAACAAAAAAATATTGAATATACTATGGACTTCCAGAACAAACAAAAAAATAAACAAAATCTTAAAAGTGTAGCAAGAATGTTCCTTAGAAGCAAAGATGATGAGACTTCATTTCATGTACTCTGAGTGTGGGTGGAGGGCTCAGTCCCTGGGAAAAGTCATAAAACTTGTTAAAGTAGTAGTTATTGTTGTTGGTAAGTTCCATTGAGTCATAGGCAACTCATAGTGACCCTATGAACGAAAGTCCTCAACACTTGCGTGCGTGACCTTCATCCTTTCTCCAGGTTCATAGGGTTTCCGGAGGCAAGCTATTTATGAAAGTGGTTGCTATTCCTGCTTCCAAGCTTGTTTCAACCGGGGAGTGCCACCAAACACTGTCCACCATGGGTAACCATTATTGCATTTGACACACTAGTGTCACAGTGTTCAGCTTCACAGTAACCACAAGTTACCTCTGTACAGCAAGTGGGCACACCAGGGCTATACGACCTGGAAGACTGTTTGAACAAAAACAATGAAAAACAGGCCTTAGGGCCGCGGATTAGAGTCACCCACCTTTGGCTTGGTAGCATCACTTTCGGTCCACTAGGCCAACTGGTCTCCCTCTGTGTTAAGTGCCATCGAGTTGTAGGCGACTCATAGTGAGTAAAGTAGAGGGTCAGCAAAAAAGAAGACCTTCCGAGAGATAAATTGATATAGTGACTGCAAAAATGGGTTCAAATACAGCAGAGATTGTGAAGATGATGCAGGATGGGGCAGTTTATTTCATTGTGTACAGTGTCACTGTGAGTCAGAGCACATAACAACAGGCTGTCTGAGTTTCTGCATCTAATGGGAATAGTCTTAATTCTTAGATTCTTATACTGTGTGAGGATGTAATGGGTTGTTATGTGCAAGATGCTTATTGTAGTATCTGGTGCACAGTGAATACTCATTACACAGCAGCCCCAACTACATGGGAACTAGAAAGCATTAAGGCAGGAATGTGTCCTATTTTGTCACATATGTCCCTCTGTTTCTCTCTTTCCAGGGTCACTTTCCTCCAAGGGCCCTTGCAATTACACAGAAGAAACCTGCTTGGAGAAGTAAGGCAGAGATCCAGTACCTCTGTAACCTCTTGCAGGCTGTGGATAGCTTCAGGAGCTATAATGAGAATCTGCAGTTGCTCCTAGCTAAAGTTGTGCGCTTTGAACGGTCAGTTGACGGGCACATTTCCTGACCCTGGGCTGGGGCTGAGGCTGGACTGTGCCCAAAGCCCTGGTCCTGCTGGTCCTATCATGCAGTATGTTCACTCTTATACTTGTCATTTGGTTTACCTCACTCAGTTTTTGAGACTCTCCATGCAATTACTCACTGACTCTAGAGAAGATCTCATGTGAAAATCAGAAACTCAGATGAAGAAACTGAGGCGCAAAAATATTACTTGTGCAAAGTCATCTGGATCATAATTAGCAGAGCGAAGATTCAGATCTAGATCCTATTCCTGAACTCTGTGTTGCCTTCTGTGGCCAACTGTATCATGCTAGGCATGTGATAAATGCAAAGTGAAGACATATTTTTCTAAAACCCAGAATGAGTTGATTGTGTCACATCTAGTTAGATGCTAGAGGAAGTGTCTATAAACTTGCATGAGGGGAAAAAAAATAGTTGCATCTCTATTTTCATTAACCTTTAACTGAAATGTAGGGAGCTCTTGTGTAGTCTGTAGGAAACTGCACTGCTAACCCAAAGGCCACAGCTCTTTGGTAGTTCAAAACGACCAGAGCCTCTGAGGGAAAAGATGAGCAATTTCCTTGCATGCGATTTATAGCCTGGAAAACCTATCGGACAGTCAGCTATGAGTCATTTCCAACTCAACAGCAATGAGTAAGTGAGTAAGTGAATTGAAAGTTAGCATTTTGTTCAACCATGACTCTAGCTAGAAAACCACTGAAGTATTAGCCATACCTATGAATTGTTCATCTAAAGAAGTCATGGATACTTTCACACCAATTTCAAGTCATTGTAGATATTTGGAAAAGTTTTGGGAAACTTTTATGCTCATCACATCTTCGAAATGATGATGATGTTATTATATCTGCTGCTAGATCTTATCATTCAGTGCCTTAATAAAGAAGCACATACATGATTATATCACAAATTTTGTACTTATAAAAAATTGTAACTGTTATAAAATTGTAATTCTGCTGTTTGTATTTTATGCATATAAAACATTCCTCTGTGAAGGCTTCCCCAGACTGTCCAGTGGTTCATGGCACAAAAAGGGCTAAATAAATACTCTGGCAGAGAAAAACCTGAGTTGCATACCAAAGTACTGCCATTCCTTGGACATTTTAATTATTTAAACAGGAATACTCTCACAGAATATTTTAAGTAAGATATTTTTTAATTTTTTTTAATTTGTTTTATTTTCTTTCCTTTGTTGTGTACCGTCAAATCAGATCCAGCTGGCAAAAGAGGAGATTTCCCCTCCTTCTCCAGCAGCATCAGGTGGATTTGAGCTGTGGGCCTTCAGAATTGCAGTGCAGCTTCTTACCATCAAACCACCAGAGCTCCCATAAGATCTTTCTTGAAAACCCAGAGTGTAAGGTCCTTGTAAGGATCCCTGGTAGCACAGTGGCTAAGTGCTCTGCTTTAGCAATTTGATTTTGTAAAGCTTCATGGCCTTGGAAACAGTTAGGTTCTCCTCTGTCCTATAGGATTTCAAAGTCTTGGAGTTAACTCTGTGACATTGGATTTTTCGGTCATTATAGGTTTTGGGCACTGAAATATTCCTCATGGAAGCCCTCTTGGCAGGGTGTATTATATATTGGACTGCTAACTAGAAGGTTGGGAGTTTGAATCCACTGGTCATTCCCAAGAGAAAAATAGACAGTCTCCATCACAAATATTTTAGCCTTGAAAACTCAATGAAGTAGAATCGATTTAAGAGCAGTGGGTTTGACTTTCATATTCCTTCATGGAAGTTACAATGTAGCAGGAGAGACAGGACATAAACTCCAAGTTATTAAGGCCCCTTATGACCAGTGTAGGATTCATTTCATAGATGATAAGTTGGCAGAAGAGACAATCCTTCAGGCAGCTTGATCAAGGCAGTTTTCACAGAAATAATGGCATTTGAGCAGGTAGATTTGACAGGTGGCAAAACAGACAAGCGTGTTCGAGGCAGAAGGAACCGTCCGCTTTGTTCTAACCCAGTGAAGAAGTGCAAGTCACCACTGAGTATAAAGTAAGATTCCTTGGCAGGCAAAGTGGTAAAGAGGAAAGAAAAAAAACCAAACCCAAAAACCAAAACACCAAAAGCAAACCAGGGAAACAGATATTCTGGTAGGTAGTTCTGCTTCTGCCGGTGCGACTTCAAGAAAACTCATCTTCTCTAAGCCTCAGCATCCTCTTTAGTGAATGAGGATGGTAAGAGGTATATTAATGGATTTTTGTGAGGATCAAGTGAGTCTTTTCCAAGATGACTGTGAGTAAAGGAGACAAAGGCCCTTCAGTTATAAGTGACCAGAAACCCAGGCCAAAGTGAGTTAAATTAAAAGAGACTCTGTTGACAGTTTATGTGTCTACAAAGTCCTGAGATCATTCTCTGGCTTCAGACTCAGATGGATTTAGTGTTTTAGTGTCATTAGGACACAGCATCTCTGTATCTGTTGCTGTCCATCTCTTGGCACTTCATTTGTATATGCTTCCTTCTTCTTTGCGCATAACACTTTCCTTACAGTGGCCAGATAGCTATCATAGATACAGCTCAAATTTCTGTCTTTCCAGTTTCAATCCTATGGAAAGCAGAGAATATTTCTTTTAACTCACTCAAGTGAAAGTCCTTGTATTCTTTCTGAACCAGATTAGCTTTGCTTAAATCATCACTGTGGTCTGTCTTGCTGTGATTGTCTGAAGGCTAAGAAAGGTGGTTCCCCCTCAAAGCAGAATTAGGGTGCAACTGGTAGAGAAAAGTGCTTGGCAGTCTGCTGTCAGAGATTCACGTTCTAGTTCTAACTCACTCTGTGATCTTTAGCAAGCCTTGTATTCCTGGACCCCACTTTTCTCATCTCTAAAATGTAAATTAATGTACATGGTCTTTGATAGTATGACGTTGAGCAGAAAATAAAGTTAAGCTAGATGGTCTCTGAGAATATGATTTTCAAATCTAGGAGTCTGCATTTGAATAACACTTTTTCTTTGTTTCCTCACCCACAAAATGTTACTTCCTTTTAATTAGTTTCTATTACCCAAGCCATCTTTTCTATATTGATAAAGATCCCAGATTATTTGTACTTGACCAGCCCACTGCCAGATGAGGTTCTGAAGGATGCTGTTCTCACTCCATTTGTCTCTGCTCTCTCCTCTGAGGAATTTTCTGCAGGGTCATGGCACCAGCAGTCAGGAACTCAAAAGACAAATTGCACTGGGGAAATCTGCTGCCAGGGACCTCTCCAGAGTATTGAGAAGCAATGATGTCAGTCTGGAGACTAAGGTGTGCCTGATCCAGGCCATGGTCTTTGCAATTACTTGCTTTGCATCAGAGAGCAGAACACTGACTAGGGATGACAGAAGATTTGATGCCTTTGAGTTGTGGTGCTGGAGAAGAGTCTTGAACATACCATGGACAGCCTAAAAACCAAAAAGGTCTGTCTTGTAGAGGACGAAAACCAAGTTTCTCCTTGAAGGATTTTGAAACTCCGTCTCACATACTTTGGGCATGTGGCCAGGAGGGACTGGTCCTTGGAGAAGGGTGTTTTTCTCTAAAGTGTGGAGGGACAACACAGGAGAAGAAGACCCTGAATGAGATGGATTGATATAGTAACTGGGGCAATAGAGGATTGTGTGTTGGAGTCAGTGAGACAGTGCAGGCTTCAGAGCTATTGTACATAGGGTCGCTATGAGTCGCAGGCAACTCTGTGTCACATAACAACAAAACAACATGGGGCCAGAAGAGTCTCTAGGATCTTAGAAGAGGGGGCATTGGGTAAGGAAAGACAACCTGAAGGAAGTAGGATCTGAACTGACCTTTGAGCTTCTGAAATATTTGAATAGAGAAGAGGGAAAAGACCATTCCTTGCAGGGAAAACAGCATGAGCAAATTGGTGAAACAAAAGGAGTACTATATTCCCGAGAGAGCTGATCTTCCTAGTGGGGCCAATGAGTTGGGAAGGAGAGGCAGGTGTCAGAGGAGGAGAAAGAGGTTGAAGAAGATTGATGAGAAGGCAAAGTTATAAAAACTTCTTAGCCAGGCCGCATAGTGGAATGGACTTGGTGGGAGGGATTGTGTAACAATGAAGGAATTTTTCTTTTACTTTTCAGAGAAGAACGATTTGGAGGGGAGGGGAGGGCAGGGAGAAAAGTGCAACAACTAATGAATGGAAATCCAAAATCTCTGTAAATTTTCATTAAAATTAGTAATAATGATAATGATAATAAAAACTTCTTAACCATAAGTAAACATCTAAAGGGAACTGAGTCTGGACCTGAGTGGTCTGGACTATAGTCTTAGAAGGCATCAAACTAATTGGCACAACCTACTCTACAGGAAAAATGTCACATATTTTACTTTGGTGAATATCAACAGGGGCCTTTAAAGCTTGTGAGTAGCCATCAAAGTTACAAATATTGACCTCTTTTCATCTGGAGCAAAGAAGAATGAAGAAGATCAAAGATTCTTGGAAACAATCAGTCCAGAGAATGAATGGATCATGTGAACCTCAGTTTCCATGACCCTGAGGCCAGAAGAAGTAGATGGTGCCCAGCTACACCGAAAGGGATCACATCAGAAGGTCCTGAATAGAGTGGGAGAAAAATAAGGAACAAAATTCAAAGTCATTAAAAAGACCAGCCTTACTAGTCAGATAAAAACTGATGGGAACCCTAAGGCTATGGTCCTTAACCATCCTACAAGGCTGGAACTGAACTCACCCCTGTGGGTCAGTTTTTCAGTCAAACTATAGATTTGTCTGTAAGGTGAGCAACATTACTAGGGAGGTAGGCACTTCTTAGAACAATCAACAACTTAAGATAAAAGGGGAGTTTCCCAAGGTGAAAGCTCAGAAGCTAGAAAAGGATAGCAGGAGGGAGGAACAGCAACAGTGAGGGAATGGGATGAGTGATGCTGGGGATTGTACTATGACACAAAACAAAATATATGATCTGTTAACTGACAGCTAATTTCTTTGTAAAACCCCAAATCACAATTTAAAAAAAAGAAGACAACTTAATGAGAGAAATGCCATGACCCAGAGTTGGAGGCAGATGACAGCAGTACATAATCCTGCCATCTGGACACATCTCCAAAGATCAGACACTGGCAAAGACCAAAGGGCAAACATTCAGGTTCCTCATTGCTTTCTATGTAAAATTTACAATGTTTTTTATTGTTGTGTACCATTGAGTCAGAACCGACCCACAGCTGACCCTCCAGTAGGTTTTCAGAGGCAGCTGGTTGCACAGGAGGAGATTGCCCATCCTCCCACAGAGCAGCTGGTGGCCTTGAACCTGTGCCTTCGGGATTGCAGCAGTTTCTTGCTACTAAGCTACCAGAGTCCCTATATTCTGTGTAAAATTTAAAGTTACCTGATCTTTTGGGGCTCTTTATGATTAGACTCATCCAACTTTTTCATTTTGTATTCCCTTAACACCTTTCCCCAATTTTCCTCTCTACTGAACCTTTCTCTTATTTCTTGAATGTGCCATTCTTCTGACCACCTCTGAATTATCTTTGACCTTGGTTGTTCCTTCATCTGAGACACTTCTCCAGCTCTTTGTCCAGCTGGAAAATTTACTTTAGACATCACCTCAGTACCTTTTCTCCCTTTCCCAGGCTGGCTAAAGGCCTCTTTTATGTGCTCCTGAACTAGTTTCTGCTTACTTCTGTGAAATCATTTCTGTTAATGAGTCTTTATCTACCGCCTCCATTTGACCATAACTTAGAGAACAAAATCTTTAGCTTTTACCACTATGCATGATAAACACAGTTGGTAATTACTTATTAAATGAATAGAAAAAATAAATGAATATTGTAACACATTAGATTGAAATTGAATTTGAATGGCAAGTGATTGTTGTTGTTAGGTGCTGTCAAATTGAGTATGACTCACAGTGAACCTATGAACAACTGATTTAAACCCTGACCTATCCTGTGCCATCCTCACAATCTCTGATACACTCAAGCTTGTTGTCATCAGTCACTGTGTCAGCTGACCTGATGGAGGGTCTTTCTCTCTTTTGCCACCCTTCCACTTTTCCAAGCATGAGGTCCCTTTCCAAGGAATAACCTCTCCTAACAACATGCCCAAAGTATGTGAGATGAAGCTTCCTCTTGTCTCCAAGGAACACTCTGGCTGTACCTTCCCCAGGACATATTTGTTCTTTTGACCAACCATGGAATGGATGTGCAGCCCTCCAACAGTTCCAAGGCTTCAATTCTTCTTCTGTCAACCGTAGTCATGTTTAGATAGGTGATCAGATAGGTGTTAATAAAGGAATCAAGCATGGTGGGGCGGGTGTGCGCTCTTCTGAAGTCCTTTCTTATCTAAGTCTGTGTGTTTTATACCTGAGCAAAGAGCAGTCTAGGTGTCTTCCTAGCAGGGACTTAACAGATCAGCTAACCAGCCATATTTTGTGTTGTTTTAGGTTTGGTCGTAGACGAGTGATTGTAAAGAGGGGCCAGAGAGGTAACAGCTTTTATTTCATCTACTTGGGCAAGGTTGCAGTAACTGAGGATGAGGATGGGAGTAGCGCCTTTCTGGACCTCCACCCAGTATTGATGTCAAAGGGCAGTTCTTTTGGGGTAAGCACAGGGAACAGCTCTAGCTTCCTGGGCTGAGGGTGGAGGTGGATCAAAACTCCTGCTAAAAGCTATAATCTAAGCCTCTTGTTGTGTACCATCGAGTCAGAACTGACCCATAGCTGACCCTCCAGTGGGTTTTCAGAGGCAGTTAATCACATGGGAGGTTATTGCCCATCCTCCTCCTGCAGAGCAGTGGACTCAAACCTCATGCTATCAGGATCGCAACACAGAGCGCCCTGCTGGCTAGATCTAGTCCTGCTCTATACTCTCTGCACATAATGCTTTGTCAGCTCCAGAACCATTATATCAAATGACAATGGAGCTGGACAATGTGATGTCCAGGGATGACCTCTTCATTTGTGATAGTTAGGGATTATGTGCCCTCTATAACATCTTGGGAGCTCTGGTGGCCTAATGAACTGCACTTTTAACCCAAAGATGACCCTTCCCTGGTGGTTCAAATCCACCAAAAGCTCTGAGGGAGAAAGAGGAACAATCTCTTCAATTTACAGCCTCTCTGAAAATCCACTTTAGGGTCACCTATGAGTTTATTCCTCTTGACACCAGTGGGTTGAGTGTTGAGTTGATAACCCCTTGGAAGGAGCTTTGGTGGCAGTGTGATTAAGCACTTGGCTGCTAACTGAAAAGTTGGTGGTTTGAACCTATCCAGTGACTGCACAAGAGAAAGATCTGAGTATCTTTCAAAAAAGATTACAGTTCAGTAAACACTCTGGAACAGCTCTACTCTGTCATATATAGTCACTATGAATCAGAGTTAACTTTACAGCACACAATATAAATAACCTAATTTCTTCGAGATGCATTTACTGTACAGTAAGACCTCTCTGGCTTTCTCTTCTCTGATTCTTTGTAGCATATTAAAAGGAAGAGGAGTGAGCTCACAAAAGAGGGACTTCATAGACAGCATGGAAGGACCAGGAACCTGCATTCTGGAGAGGGGGGACCTCAGGGGCAGTGGAATCAGGGAAGAGCGCTATAGGGCTTTGAGCAGGAAACTTTGAGCTATGGGGTGGTCCTTCACTTGCCCTTGCTCTTGTTCACTTAACAGGAGGTGGCACTCCTGAGTTCTTCAGTAAGGAAAACCACGGTAGTCTGTATGGAAGAAACAGAGTTGTTGGTTGTCGACAAAGAAGATTTCTTTACTAATAAGCTGAATGTGGAATTTGAGAGAGATGCTCAGTATCGGTTTGCATTTTTTAGGTAATGTTGTCATTGGTCAGCATTTCTCCGCCCCTCCACCTCTTCCCAGCCATGTGTTTATTAAGTGCTTCACTTTATCTTTGGCCTAGTGGGAAACATCCTAGGTGCTTTTCTTTGCCTGGGACACTCTTCCATATTCACACCTCACTGTTGTCTCTGTCTAACATGCTCCTACTATCCTTCAGCTCTGGTGTTACTTCCTTGTGGGGTAGAAAAAAGAGCTAACACTTATTGAGCATCTACTAGGTCAAGCACTGTGCCAAGCACTTTGTACCATTTATCCTCTCTATTCCTATAAAGTAGGAACCCTAGTGGCCTCATCTTTAGGTAGTTGCCCTGTTAGCCCAAAGGCCACACTTATCTGATGGTTCAAATCCACTGGTAGCTTTAAGGGAGAAAGATGGGCAATCTCCTTTTATGTGATTTACAACCTTGGAAACCCAATAGAAGGTCAGCTATGAATAGGTCCTGATTTGAAGGCAAATTCTCAGCAGGTCAAACCAGAATGAACCAGTTTGAAGCCCTAGTGTCCCAGCACTGGGCACATGTTGAAAACTCTTGTGGTGGTTCAGCTTTCCTATGTGCAACTCTAGGCCCTTCTCCATGTCTGATGTGGCGTTTCCGTTTGATGCCCTGCACTGAATTCAGTGGCCCTTTTGAGGCCTGAGTCATCCTGAATTCTGAGCTCACAATCTAGTGGAGCTGCTTCTGAGGGAAGGCAAACCCATAACAACTGGTGTACAGGGTCAGAGGAAGGGCTGGTCACTGCATAGTGGGCCTTCATTCAGCTCCATGGAGCACAGAGGCAAGGGGAGAAGTTGAGGTTTAGAGCTGAGTTTAGAGCTGAACTTGAGGTTTAGAGCTGAGTATTTGAAGCCACAGGCATAAGGGCTATGGAATGAGCTATCAAATCAAAGGTAGTGCCAGGACTTTGAACAAGGGGCAGAACACCACAGTGAGTGGAAGTGAAGAACTTCTTGGTCTTTCCTTGGAATAGGATTAGTTAGAGATCCGCAATATACAAGGAAAGTAAGATGGAACAGAGGTGAGAAAAGCACAAAAGCTGGATCATGCCAGGTATGTTTGAGAATCAACAAGGAGAAGACCAGGGCTGGATGGGAGGATCTTGAGAAAAATGGTAGGTCGAGGGAACAAAGGGCCAAACACAGGAGATTGGCTACAGACTAGGCAATAGGAGGAGGTATGTGAAATTCCAGCCAGGCATTTTCAAGAGTGAAAAAAACGGTGAGATCAATTGATATTGGGTGATGAATTCTAACAAATTTTACTCCTTCTCCTTCCACAGGAAGATGGATCTATTTCAGTCTTGGCCCCAAGAGAAACTCTGGCAGCTGGTCATCCTGGGGAAAATTGAGAAGTTCTCATTTGGCCAGCTGATCTCAAAAGACTTTATGCATTCTTCCACAGTTATGTTTGTCTGCAAGGTATAGGGTCTGGGAGGGAGGGAGTAAAGCTGGGGAGAACCAACCTAATGTGATATCCTATGGCCAGATAGACGCATTAAGTCCTGTTCTACAGCTTGGGGAAGTTACTTCCTTCTCTGAGCTTCGATGCTGTAGGAATTATCAAAGAGAAAAATTAATCAGACATTTTCTTTTTATTTTCCTATCCATAGAACCAAATATACACGCTAAAGAAATTGCCAACAAAAATTAATCTTGCCTGTTGGCTTGTATTTTACCCAAAGTTGAAAAGTTTACCAAATTGGAAAGTGACTGGACCAACTCTGCAGGGAGAGAAGGGCAGGACACCATTAATGATGTTAATATTGGCCAGTGGTTAAGCCATTCTTTCTCTTCTCCTTATAAGCCTCATTATAACCAACTGATTCGAACCAATTACTTTTTCAGGACTCAAAATGATCTTTCATATACATGTAGAATAATTGCTTGGAATAAGCTTGGTTTCAATTTCTTCAAATTGTTATTATTTTAACACTTGTAAACATTTGTAAAGAACAAATAATATGGCTTGCTCTGCCTCCTTTAGAGGGTTGCTGTGAACTTTAAGGTTGTTGTGGTGTACCAATCCACAGCTGACCCTCTAGCAGGTTTTCAGAAGCAGAAAATTGGATGGAGAATATTGCCCAACTTTATCCTGCACAACACCTAGTAGATTCAAACCATGTACCTTTGTGTTGGCAGGGTAGTTCCTTATAACTAAGCTACCAGAACTCCCTGAACTTAAAGGTTGTTGTTATGTGCCATTGAGTCGCCTGCAACTCATAGTGACCCAATGTACAACAGCTCTGAGTCAATTTCATTATCTCTGACAAACTTACCTTCATTACCCTAGTCAACATAATTATTCTATTAGAAAGAGGATACCTTCTCCAGTAGCTCAGATAGTATGCTTATTTATACACAAATGCAGATTTAAACTGTCCATTTACCTAAAATCCCAACCAACTTTTAACTTTTAAATTGTAAAAGGGATGTGACCACATTATAAAACTTTTTGTATCAATATCACTTGGTACCGTGCTAAAATGCAGTCTCAGGCCTACTCAAACGTCAAACTTTCTAGTCACTTCCAACTCATGAAGATCTTTCATTCGGTTTCTGAGGCTGTAAATCGTTACAGGAAGAGACTACCTCACTTTTCTCATGTGGAGCAGCTTGCGGGTTCAACTGACCTTTCAGTTAGCAACCCAATAAATAATGCACTATGCCACTGGGGCTTCTTGCAGTCCTATCATGCCTTATTGAGTGAAAAACTCTGAGAGCAGGTTCAATGGTCTGTTTTAATGGTTCTTACAGTTAACTGAGCAGCATTAAATTTGTTGGAGAACTTCCGATTAAGGGAAGAGTCATCCAACTGGGAAGTCTAAAAGCACCTAGGATGCTTTTTTAAAAGTTCAAAAACACTTCAGGTGGTTCCTGGTACACCCCCGAGATTTCCTGAGGTCTGAAATATGCATTTGATTAAGTGTCTGGTGAGTCTCAGGCAGAAGGGCTTGGACTTCATCTGGAGAAAAACCTAAACAAGCAAACAAAATTATAGATGGGACTCAGTTAGCCTGTAGCTAGGTTGTCCCTGATTTAATAGTTAATGTGATGATGTTACACAAATTCTGACTTCTTACTTCTTTTGAAAATCTGGAAGATAGGTAACACTAGGCTAAGTTGCCTTCTGTTGTAAGCCCCTCTGACTGGAGTCTAAGGGATTGCTCTTTTTTGCTTTTATTTTCCTTTCATTTCTGGGTGTTTTCAATTACTTTGTATGCATTAGAAAGTTGGATAGTGAATAAATATGACAGAAGAAGAATTTAATGTGCAACAATGAGTGAAAATCTAACTTCTCTGTAAACATTCACTGAAATCCCAATTAAAATAGAATTTTATTTAAAAAAGAAGAAGAAATGATGCCTTTCAATTGTGGTGTTGGCAATGAGTATTAATATGTCAAAAGAACAAACAAGTCAGTATTTGGAAAAAGACATCATGTTGGGAAAGGTGGAGGGTCAGAGAAAGAGAGGAATATCCTCAACTAGATAAATTGACACGGTGCCTGTGACAGTGGGTTGGATCGGAGATCATGAGGCTGGCGAAGATAGGGCAAGGTTCACATTAGTTGCATCAACTGAAAGGCAAAAACAAAAGAGCAAGTGAGGCCATTCTGTCCTGACTTCTGTAGTTCACCACTTTAACACCAGAGGGCGAAATTAGCAGCAGGTGAGATGTCCTCAAGAGAACCCAAACCACATTGCCTTGGTATCAATTCTGATGCAGAGACCCTATAGGTATAGAACTACTCCGTAGAGTTCTGTGGAGTAACTGGTGGATTTGAACTGCCAACTTCTCGGTTAGTATCTGAGCACTTAACCATTACGTGACTGGGGTTCCTTCATAGTATCCTTGTGTTGCTGTGTACCGAAGAGTTGGAATTGACCCATAGCTGACCCTCCAGTGAGTTTGGGAAACATGATTTCCTGATGATATCACAAACATAATTAATATTTATAATAAATTTATTTGAAAAAATTTATTTGAAACAGTTTATAATTCGGGACCACATGATAAAACTGTTTTCTCCACAGATTACAGCTGTAATTAAAGACCCGTGAGAGATTTTCTAAGAGGAACCTGTGTTTAGATGTGTTCCTCTAGCACCTGCTGCAGATCCTAGTTTAATATTTGTTGAATGCATATTGAGTATAGCTCCAAGACCAATGCCTGGCACAGAAACAAAAACCCCAAACCTTTTGCTATTGAGTTGATTGTGACCTGTAGCTTACTGAAGTAGACTGCCACATCTTCCTCCTGCGGCTGGTTCATCTGAATTACCAATCTTTGGGTTAGCAGCCAACTACTTAACTAACTGTACCACAAAGGTTCTTCTAGCACATTCTAGGAGCTTATTTAATATTCACTATTTTTTTCCTTCTCCTCCCTCTTGAATATTAATCTGTTTGGAGCTCCTCTAACCCTTTATACTATGTCTCATAGACTGTCCTCTTCAAAAAGGGTACGGTTATATAAAGTTATGAAATCAAAAGGCAAAAGTGATGTTTCTTTCTTACTTATCATATTAGCAGGATTTAAAGAATTTTGAAAACCTATTCTTGGCAGGTAAGTATTACAATAAGCTCTGTTATATACATGGATTGCAAAGTGTAAATTGATATAGCATTTCTGGAAATCAGCTAGGCATGCATCAAAATTTAAAGCATTACTATCACATGCAAGCAAAATATTGATGAATATTATTTAAAAATGGCTGGACCAGTATATCAAGCAGGGAACTGCCAGAAATTCCAGCTAGATTCATAAGAGGAATGGCACAGGGGATATCATTCATTGTTGATATAAGATGGATCTTTGCTAAAAGCAGAGAAAGATGCTTAAAGTTTTATTAATATGCAAAGGCATTAGACTGTATAAATAATAATAAATTATAAACAATATTGAGAAGAATGAGAATTATAGAATACTTAATTATGCTCATGTAGAACCTCTACATAGACCAACAGCAGTCATTCATACAGAACTGGGGCTACTTCATGGACTAAAATCGGGGGTGGGGGGAAGAAATCAGGAAATCTGTGTGTTCTGTCCTTTCAATCAGTATAATGAGCAAATAATCTGAGAAGTTGGACTTTATTAAGAAGAACATAGAATCATGAGTGAATGAAGACTCATCAATAATTTGTGATATGCAGATAACAACTTTGCTTGCTGACTAACTTCACATGAAGACTTGAAGTACTTATTCAAGTTGGTCATACTAAAGCCTTCAATGTAGATTAAACCTCAATATAAAAAAAAAAATCTTCACAACTAGACCAAAAGCAACATTATGATAAATGGAGAAAAGATTGACATTGCCAATTTCATTTCACTTGTATCCACAATCAACACCTGTGGAAACAGCAGTCAAGAAGTGAAAAAGATGTATTGCAGTGGGTACATAACCTCATTAAAGTGCTAAAGAGCAAGCATGTCAGCTTAAAGCTTAAGGTGCACCTGGCCCAGGTAATACTTTTATTTGCTTCATATATTGTTTGTTGTTGTTAAGTACCAGTAAGTATGACTCATAATTGACCCTATGAACAAAAGATCTGAACCTTGTTCTATAACTATCATTGTTTCTCTAGTTCATAGAGTTTCCAAAGGCATGTTGTTTAGGAATTGGATACCAATCCTGCTTCCAAGCCTGTCTTAATCTGGGAGCTCAACCAAACACTGTTCACCATAGGTAACCATTATGGCATTTGACACATTAGTGGCACAACATTCAGTACCACAGCAACGCCAAGTATGTGAGTATAAAGACCAAAGAACTGATGCCTTTGAATTACGGTGTTGGATTGCCAAAGAACAAACACATCTCTCTTAGAACGAGTAAAACCAGTGTTCCTTAGAGGCAAGGATTCACACACTCATACACATAAATACATAAATGTATAATATATTAATAGAGATGAATTTGCACTAATATCATATGTTTCTACTGGTATTTTAGGGTATTAGGACCAGCATCCTAACATTGAATTAGGATAACATTGGTCCTGACTCTCTGGCACTCAACAACAACAACAACAGAACTAATGTAGTTTTGACATGCACTGGGTGTTCTTTTGTTTTAATTTTTTTTTTTTTTGCTTTTAAATTTAGAAAATTTCAAACTTAAAGAAAACTTGCAAAAATAATACACAAAGAACTCTTATATAAATGTCGCCCTGAGTCACCAAATATGAACATTTTCCCCATCTGCTTTAGTATATGTATTTTTTTTTAATTTTATTATTTTTTGTGTGTGCATCATCAAGTCAAATCTGACTGGTACAGGAAGAAATGGCCCCACCGTCTCCAGCAGAGCATCTGGTGTATTCTAACTGTGTACCTCTGGGATTGCAGTGCAACTTCTTGTCACTAGGCCACCAGAGCTCCAGTATATGTATTCCCCCCCCCTTTTTGGATCATTTGAGATTCAGGAACACCCATTATAGTGGGTTAGCCTTATATATTTAAGTAATTTTTGTTAAGATCCGAAATTAAGAACAGAATAATCATAAAAGTTAGGGAATTTAGTATTTGTAGTTCAAAATAAATTCAACCCATTGTTCCAATATTGTTATTTATTGATGTCACCATCAATAAATTGAAGTTCTCCTATTGACAGCATTGTATTTAGCTCTCATGTTTCTTTAGCAAGAAATTCTGGTGTTATTAACCTAAGAGGTTTGTGGTTCCTATTTGGTCTGACTATGAGTTCAAATTGACATTGACTTGACAACAATGAATTTGGTTTGGGGGTTTTTCTTTCCTTTAGCTATATAAATACTGTATAATAAGGAGACATTTTGACAATGGAGAAGGAGGCAAAAAGAACCTAAAATAACTTTAGTTAACAAGTGAAACATAGCAGGGTAAGATGTGATAAAGAGAATTTGTCTTCAAATCCTGTATCCCTTGACATGTCAGGGCAGCTGTGAAGTCCTGAGGCTGATAGACCTTGGAAAATCCCCTTCCTACTACAAGTGGATCTGGCAGCATCTGCAATTCCAAAACAACAAACCTATGAAGACCCCCATCTTTGGTAAGCTCCCAGTACACACTGGCAACTGGCAGGGGTATCTTATTTCCTGTTTATGGTCCAGATAATCTCAGAGCTCTATAGATGCCTGTTGGCATGTATGATAATCTCAGAGCTCATACATGCCTGTTGGCATGTATGATTTCATCTTTTCTACAAGTTGTAGGGGCTGGCCACAAGGCCCTGTGAGATCAGGCTTGTGTCCACCCTCCAGCCTATTCCTCAGAAGCCTTTTCTTGCTTGTTTTTCAAGTTCCCCCCCCCATGTGACCTTGGCTTGCAGCTTTCTTTTCTTTACCCCTCCTGCCTCTAACAGGAGAGACAGCTTTGGGTCGGTTCTGACTCGATGGCACACAGCAAAACAAGCAAAACCTCTCTTGTTTTCTTTCCAATCTTAGATTAAAAGCAAAAGTCTTCTTGGTTGTTCATGCCAGATCAGCATCCCTCATCCCCCATTATATTTTATCCAAGTACTCTAATTTTTCTATGGTATTTTTTTTAAATTTTATTTTCAGGGGGAGCTCTGGTGGCCTAGTGGCAAGGAGCTGCAACTACAATCCCAGAGGCGCATGGTTCGAATCCACCAGATGCTCTGCCGGGGAAGGAGGGGCAATCTCCTCCTGTACCAGTCAGATCTGATTTGATGGTACACGCACACAAAAATAATAAAATAAAATAAAAATTTTTTTTTCCATAATTTTAATGAACATTTACAGAGATTTTGGATTTCCATTCATTCATTGTTGCACTTTGCTCCCTGCCCAACCCTCCCCCCAGTTTATGGTATTTTTCTATTCTGATTTATGGTACCCTATGTATGTCAGAGTAGAGCTGTACTCCATGGAGTTTTCAGTGGCACACCTCACACCATACACAAAAATCAACTCAAGGACCTAGGAATAAAACCAAAGACTATAAGCTTCATTAGAGAAATGCTGGGAAGAGCTCTAGAAGCCCTAATCTACAGTATGAACAGTCTTCCACACATAATGAAAAGCCAACAGTCAGATTTGGTAAACCAAAATAGATGAATGGGACCTTCTAAGAATCAAATTTCTATACACATCAAAAACCTTCTCCTACGGGATAAAAAGGAAAGCCATAGATAGACTGGGGAAAAAAATATTTGGTAATGACATATCTGACAAGGGACTCATATCTAAAATTTATAGAATATTCCAGTACCTCAACAAGAAAAAGGTAAACAGCCCGATCACAAAGTGGGTATTGGATATGAATAGACATTTCACCAAAGTAGACATTCAGATGGCTGATTTTTTTAGTAGTACATCAGCAGGGCTTTCTTCTGAGGATCCTCTGGATGGACTTGAGCTGCCAACTTTTGGTTAGCCCCTGAACCCTATTAAAATAATATCATTAAATCTGAAATGGCTATTGAACATCCTTTGCTACTTTGTGAGGGCTTTGTATTCCCAGGTTCTAGTAAGACATTCTTGAGTTGGGGTATTGGAGAACAGTATTGAATAGTCCATAGACTGCCAAAAGAACTAACAGATACATTTTGGAGAAAGTACAGCCAGAGTTTTCCTTAGAGGCAAGGATGGTGTGGCTTCATCTTACATACTTTGGACATACTCCTTGGAAAGGGATTGTTGTTGTTGTTGTTGTTAAATGCCATTGAGTCGTAGATGACTCATAACAACCCTATGAACAAACGACCTGAACACTTGTCCGCCATGGGTAACCATTATCGCAGTTGACACATCAGTGTCACAGTGTTTAGTATCACAGCAACCACAAGTTACCTCTGTGCAGCAAATGGACAGACCAGTGCTATGCCACTTAGAAGAATGTTTGACAAAAAATGATTAAAACCATCCTGAGGACCGCAGACTAAAATCACCCACCTTTGGCTCGGTAGCATAACTTTCTGTTCTCTAGGCCAACTGAGCTCTCTCGTTGTTGTTGTTGTTGTTGTTGTTAAGTGCTGTTGAGTATCATGCTTAAAAAGGTGGTCAGTGGAAGACAAAGAACCTCAATGAGATTGACACAGTTACTGCAGCAGTGGGCTCAAGCATGAACATTGTCCTATCCTCATCATCTTTGACATGCTTGAGCCCATTGCTGCTTCTTGTACTCTCCCTAGTATTTTTAAAGCATTTGGTCCTTTTTATTTCTAAGAAGTATCCTCCTGAATATATATTTTTTTAATTTTTATTATTTTTTGTGTGTGTACCATCAAATCGGATCTGATTAGTACAGGAAGAGATTGTCCCTCCTTCTCCAGCAGAAGATCTGGTGGATTCGAAACACATGTTCCCTGATATCTTTTTAAAATAACTCAAACAAAGGGCATATTGTGTTCCTGGCACAGTGCTAGGCACATTGTATCTTTTATAATAGTTCTTTTTTTTTTATTTTTGTACTTTCTTTTATTATCATCATAGTCCTCACATCAAGATACATAGTAATGATAGCAGGATTTTTTTTTAAAGCTTAGTATTAAATATTAAATATCTTTTCCCATTTTAACTTTACATTACTCTGCCAAGGGAAAAAAAAATTAAAACTCAAGTTATTTGAAGCCAGGACACACTTCCATGATTAGACGGGCTATGTAAAAGTTGGTGGCTTTGTTCTTCCTGCTGTATAAGCAGATCCAGGCCCTAGAAAGATTGGACCAGGTTATAATTGTTTTTGAAAAGTGTGCTACAAAAACGGAGGGCCCATTATAAGCCAGGTTACAAAGTAAGGAGGGGTAAGGGAAGGACATTTTCCAGAAACAGAATTTCTGAAGAGTCCCAGTCTATCATTTTTTTTTCCAAAATGGCTGGAAGAGGGAGTAAAATCTCAACATGAGCTTTGAAGTACTGTGTCTGTGAGGGGACGAGTCGCCTTGCTGGGGAGGGGAAAGGCTAAGACCACTCAATCCCTTCCCAGCTAGGAACAAAGAAGTATTGTCCAGGGGGTATGAAAATGGGCTGAATTCTCTAAGAGGTTTCTTCTAGAAACAGACAACTCGGACTCTTCCTCTCACTTCAGCAAAGAAGTTATTTTTAAAA